TGGAAGGATCTTTAATACTACAAATATTTGTTCTTGGTGAATCCACACGCAAGGAACAAGCAAACTCTACAACTAGGCGGCTGCTAGGTCTAAGAAGAAGAACTGCGTTATTTTATTGATAATCAAAGGTGAAAATATTACACAGCTGCAAAGGAGCTTTATAAGAGCTCACCAGCTAGCCCTAGGGCCGAAAATGCAGAAAAAGAAATAAAAAAATGTCACAAAACAAAGCAAAACGCAGCAAATAAAATTACAAGGAAAAATAAATAATACTTAAGCAAAATAAAAGAAAATAGAGCTGATCTCTTGTAGCTTTCTTTGGGGCTCGGACTGGGGTCTATTGTTGTGTCAATTACCACTGGAACACTCCAAATTACCTACACAAATTGTATAAATTGTAAATACCTGTTTTCGGCTTGGAATGAGCTGGTTTGAAGCTAATATGATCATGTCTTGTTCTGCTCCGTTTAAGTTGAATTCTTTCATGACTTTTTTTTCTTTAGCTCCCTTGAAGTCGAATTGTATGAGATCTTCAAGTGTTTCCAAGTTGTTAGCTGCAGAAGCTTATTCTTGCTCTATTTGTCCATTCTTGAGCAGCTGGCTTGTTTTCATCATATCTTGAAGTTCCGATGTGATCTCAGTGTGATTCTTGATACTCTGGACTCCATTACCTGTCAAGTAAACATGCTTACATTGGTTTGCTCGTGGATTATCTTCTTTGAGGCTCAAACGTTCAAAAGCCTCAGTTATGTCTAATTCGGACGCATATGAGCCCTCTTGAATGCTATTGACTTCTTGATCAGTTTTGAACGATTCTCCAAGCTCCATGTTGTTTAAAAGGGTCTCTACTGTCATGTTGAATCCTTCTCTAAGCCTTCTAGTCTTGGAACGTGTCATTGGTGCATTTATAACCTTGGGTATGCTTGGTTTATTTTTGTCTGGTTTATTGTATGGTTCGATGTCTTCATCACGGTTTGTTTCGAGTATTTTTAGACGAGTTCTAATTCATTTTTTCGATTCTAGGTAATAGGCCTAGATCTACTTACTAGTGTTTACTAACTAGTTAATTCAATTTCTTTTCCAATTAAATTAAGGGGAAAATCCCAAAAAGTACCTCAAGTAAATTATTTTGCCAGAAAAATACACCTGAACTAAATAACATTGTCCGTTTAATACAAAAAATTTCTAATTTTGAAGGTTTTACACTTCGAATTTAACAGAGGTTAACATCCGTTAATGGAAATAAAACGTTGTTAGAGTAATTGACCACGTGTTAACGGAAATCGAAAATCTAACCAAGGAACAAATTCCAAATCTAACCAGGAAACAATATACACAAATTTGGCCATTAAAATCGATTCACATCAACAATTTGACCATAATCGAACTAAAAATCAAAAAGAAAACAACGTTCTCAAATACAACTATTTTAGATTCATTGAAAACCCAAAAACTAAGCATAACTCGATTTTTGCTTATGAACAAAATACCTCATCTTGTCAGCCTACTCTCGCACTTTACACTATACCGTATATGCGTTCGATTCAGACATTTAACTCAATCTTCAGTTCGCTTTTTGAGTGTCGATTTTGTTTGAGATGAAGAGAAATAGAAATTAGGATTCTATAATAGCCAAATTGATTTGGGGAAAAAAAATACTATTATCGTCAACATGTGGTTAATTATACTAACAATGTTTATTTCCGTTAACGGATGCTAACCTTGGTCAAATTCAAAGTATAAAACCTTCAAAATTTGAAATTTTGTGTATTAATTTAGTTGGGTTATTTTTTTGGGGTATATTTTGGTGTCAGAAATAATTTAAGTTTGGGGGTATTTTTGGGGGTTTTTCCCTTAAATTAGATGCGGGTGAACAAGATTGTGGGTTATTTTTTTCTTTCTTCTGTTGAAAGCGGAAATTCATTCGTCTTTGGTTCTCACTCGATTCGACAGATTGAATCTAAATTAGGGTTTGTTATTCAATTGTAGTAATCCTCGCTCGCTTGCCTGCAATGGCGAGTGTGTACATACCTGTTCAGAATTCGGAAGAGGAAGTTAGGGTTGTTCTTGATCAGCTCCCTCGTGACGCCTCTGATATCCTTGATATCCTCAAAGCCGAACAAGCTCCTCTCGATCTCTGGCTCATCATCGCGGTTCCTTCTCCATCCGAATCTTTGTTTCAATTTCTTCGAATTTGGCTTCTTTTCTGACTGATTCTCTCTTCTGTTTCTCTGGTGAAGAGGGAATACTTCAAGCAAGGAAAAATTGAGCAGTTCCGCCAAATATTGGAGGAAGGGTCAAGTTCTGGTACGCAATGCTACTCTTTTTCTTACTCATTCAGAGTTCTCCCTCGATTCTGGGAATTGATTTTGTTTCCTCTTGCCAAGACATTGACGAGTACTATGCTGATGTCAAGTACGAGAGAATAGCTATCTTGAACGCCCTAGGTGCGTATTACAGCTACCTGGGTAAAACTGAGACAAAACACAAAGAAAAAGAGGATCATTTTATCTTGGCAACACGCTACTATAACAAAGCATCCAGAATCGATATGCATGAACCTTCCACTTGGATTGGGAAAGGTAATCACTACCACTACCAATCTTTCTCTCTCTACAATTCCTTCATTGAATATTTGGCTCTATGTTTACTAGATATAATATCCTCAAGTGTGATTGTCTGTTTACAGGTCAGCTCTTACTGGCTAAGGGTGAAACAGATAATGCACTTCAGGCATTTACCATTGTCTTAGGCAATGCCCCTGATAATGTTCCTGCTCTTCTGGGTCAGGTACTGTATAACTAACTAACAATTTTCATTGGCTGCCACATAGCCAAAAATTTCGAGGTAGTTGGATTCTCTATACATCATCTTCTCAATTCTTGGCCAAAGGACATGCATCAAAAATTTCAGTTTCTTGAAGCATATTTATGGTTGCCAAGTTTCTTGGAGCAAACTGTGCTTGCTTGAGAAACCTTTGGGTTATAATTTTTTTAGTTTCGTGAAGCATAATTATGTACGTTTAGGAAATTAAAATTTGGGGTTAGCTGGTATATCAAGTTTCTGGGTAATGAGAATTTGATTCTGATGCTTGCTCTCTTACCAACCTAGCCCTGGGACTGTAGTAGCTTATTCTCTACTTTTCTGCAAACTAATAACTTGCTATATCACCTATACAGGCTTCTGTAGAATTTTATCGTGGACGTTTTTCCGAGTCATTGCAATTGTACAAGGTATGCTTTTCCTTATCAACTACTACATTTTTGTATAGCACGTGTTCATTTGGGCTGTAAAAATTATTTCTTTTATGTTTTGGGTAATACAGTCTAGTCTACCTATGGAACAAAATGATAGTCTTTTCATTTGTCTATGTGTTTATTTATAAACCATTGATTGTTTCAAGAGGGCCTTGCAAGTATATCCCGGGTGTCCTGCAGCTGTGAGACTGGGAATTGGTCATTGTCGTTATAAACTGGGGCAGCTAGATAAAGCACGGCAAGCGTTTGATCGTGTTTTGCAGGCAAGTGGGACTGTGATGTTCTACCTCATCTTTCATATAATACAGCCTCTGCTTTGAAAAAGAGTGCTATTTACTATATTCTATATCTGCAGCTAGATCCTGATAATGTTGAGGCTCTTGTCGCACTTGGAATCATGGATTTGCAAGCAAATGATTGTAAGTGTAACTCAGTTCTAAATCTTCTAATAGTGTTTGTATGCTGAAGAGATTTTAATAACTAAACTTATTTTTGGTCTTCGCTGATGACCTTTCATATGTATAGCTGTAGGAATGAGAAAAGGAATGGAGAGAATGCAGCAAGCGTTTGAGATTTATCCCTATTGTGCAGCAGCTCTGAATTATTTGGCCAATCACTTTTTTTTCACCGGCCAGCACTTTCTTGTTGAGCAGCTGACTGAAACAGCATTAGCTGTCTCAACTCATGGGCCAACAAAGTCACATTCTTTTTACAACTTAGCACGGTCATATCATAGCAAGGTGAGACATATATAGTTTTTATCGTCTTGCGTATGTTCAATTCTTACCTAGTATTGAAAATAAGTTCGGCGAGGAACTTTGTGGTCTACCCTAGATGCATTAGGGTGAAAAGTTGTCAGTCTTAAGGAAGTGGAGGAAAAATTTAAGAAAAGCATGCTTAAAGATTTTTTGAGTAGAAATATATCTGATGTGTTTCTGTCTTCTAAGGGCAGTTATGAAAATATGCATCTTTTTCTGTTTTCTTTGTGTAATCTCCCTTTCTGATGTTGGATGGTCTTCTTCTAGGGCGACTATGAAAAGGCTGCGATGTACTATATGGCAGCCATCAAAGAAACTGATTATAAGCCACAAGAATTTGTATTTCCTTACTTTGGTAACTTTTCTTGGTCCTACTGAATTCCTCTTAATTCTTTGTACGTTACCATCTGAGTCGTTAGCAATGAAGATACTGCACCTTCGTCATTTCTTTCCATTCTAACCAGTAGAATATCCGATATGAGACCGTCAATATTTAGTTCCAGTCTGTAACAGTATGATTTTGAACACATGTCTGTATAACAACATCTTGTGTTTCGGTTTCCAGTTTAGCTCAGTTCGGGATCATGATCTTATATCTGCAGAATTGTCCTGTATGGTCATTTGTTTTGCTGATGTTGCAGGTTTGGGTCAAGTGCAACTAAAGTTGGGGGAACTTAAAGGATCAGTAGGCAACTTTGAGAAAGTATTAGAAGTCTATCCTGATAACTGCGAGACTCTGAAGGTTAAATCACTGCAGGCTTTTTCTCTATTGATCTCTCATTCTGTATTTTATCCTTTGAAATTTTTAAATGCTTCTTGTGCATATTTCTTTCTTCTTTAGGCTCTTGGGCACATATACACTCAGCTTGGACAAACTAATAAGGCCCTTGACTACATGCGGAAGGCCACAAAACTTGATCCACGTGATGCCCAGGTTTGTTTGGTTTGCATAATTCTTAAGTCTCTGTCTTTCAGAGTGTTGACATTTGCATGCCTTTTAGTAGTCGTTGTTGCTGTTACCTTACTATGAATCACCTTTAAGTGATCTTTCCACTTTTGTTGCCTAAGTTGTAACACGAGCACGCTTAGCCTATGCAGGGAAGAAAGAACATAATAGGAAGACTTAGTTCTGCCATATATCTTGAGAACAACTTTTTATTTCATTCACAAGCTTTTAAGTGTTGTTGAAGACTTAATAAGGATATGAACCCTTGTTTGTTGCAATTACTTTTTCCTAGATTTACAGTTTTGTCTTTGTTTATATGCTACATTGGTCTTGTAGGCATTTGTTGGCCTTGGTGAGCTCTTGATATCATCTGACACCGGGGCTGCCCTTGATGCCTTCAAAATGGTAAGTCCTATTTAAAGTGTAATTTTGATAACTGAATCTCCTGTTCAAGCCAACGATAGCATTTTGTACATTATTAAAGAAGGCATTTTGTCTGAGAACTAGAAATGAAAATTCTCAGGCACGGACCCTCATGAAAAAGGGAGGGCAAGAAGTGCCTATAGAAGTCCTGAATGACATTGGTGCTTTACATTTTGAGAGAGAAGAATTTGAGGTTTGTAATCGGTTTGTTACTGCTTTTTTCCTTTGAATTTTGGCCATTGGCTTCAATTCTCTCCTTCATTTCAGTCAGCACTTGACAATTTTAAGGAGGCTCTGGGTGATGGAATATGGATTAGCTTCCTTGATGGAAAAGAGAATTTAGAACAGATGAGTGCATCTGTTCTAGGATACAAGGATACTGGCATTTTCCATAGGCTGATTGAAAGTGGTCACTCTGTCGATGTACCGTGGAATAAAGTCACAACTTTATTTAACCTGGCTAGATTACTT